CGCTCTTGGAGATTCCGGAAGATGAGGTAATATTCTAGTGAAAGGTGACATAGGAAGAACATAGAAACATTGTTTCCGAAGCTTTGCTATATGTACTACTGACTCGACTACTTGCTGGTTTTCTGCTTATATAGTAGTCCATCTTTTTACTTGTGTTAAATCTTGCAATGGCTATCACCCGAACGCATAGCAGTCACCTATATCCTTTAGGTTTTTCAAAACTACACTACCAGTGTCCGTATTACCACAACCACCAGCAGTATGGCTGCAACTACTTACAGTAACCCCTAAGCTGTAAGCCCTTCAGGTTCAAGAGCGCCAAGACCCACGAGGATATGGACCCGCTTTGCAGCAAGATTGCTGAAGAGGCCATATACGGAACCAGTCGAATGCATCTTCACTCCCCAAGGCTTCGATTGAATGCACATAATCAACGAACTCCAGGAACCCGAGTGTGGCTGTACTTGAAATTTAGAAGATTCAGACGGGGAGAGAAAGAGAGAGCGAGAGAGAGAGAGTGAGTGTTGAACTATAGAAGATAAAGACGAGGAGAGGAGAGGAGAGAGAGAGAGAGAGAGAGAGACAGAGACAGAGACAGAGAGTTTTCAAACAGACAGACACAGAGACAAAGACATGGAGGGAAGGGAGTTCGGGAGGGAGAGGGATAGAGAGGCAGAGATGGGTTCAGGACTGCATATTCTTCTCACAATCGGAGCTTCCAATGCTTCTAAATTCTGAGCTCAATTATCAACCCCAAATTCTAAACCCTCTGACACCGTAAGGAGCTTTAAACCGAAAGCCCCCCCCCCTAAGTCAAGAAAACTCCATATGCATCCTAAACCCCATATGCCGTCTTGCAGGTGGAGTTGTTGAAGATGACCAGAGGCCAAGCCAAGGGCCTCATCAATGAGATGAAGAAGCAGGGTGGTATTTCCTGAATACCTTAAGGTATACCATGGGCTATAGATGGTCTCGATGCAGACTGCAGCTAAAATTTAGCTGACAGGGGTGGTTTGTTGTGCTTGCAAATCAGCGCATTATTCTAGCCTGCCATCTGAACATGCTAAGCAGAGATGCTATCCGCATGCATTTCTTGAAGCTGCAGCTGCAAGTGCAACAACCAGGTTTTGCGCTAGATCCCAGGCATCGGGTGCCCCATGCATTGCAGGGGCTGTGAATGTGTGGTAGAACATCCTGTGCCGAAAGATCTCAGCCTCGGACCCGCCCTGCGATTACTCTTCGTCCATTCACCGAGATGCCTTGGCCAGAAAAGCGCTTTGCAACCATACAGTCGGTGAGCTTGTATGTGCAACTTCCGATGCAGTTGCATGTATAAGTTAGATATCAGTACGTACTCCCTCGCAGGTCCTACACCGCCACGTCCAAAACGTCTGCAAGACAGATTGGATGATGTGCTACCTTGTCTGGAATAGAGTTATTCTGCACATAAGCCCCAAGTGTGGTTCATTGTGCATCAGTTAAGAGCCTTCAAATTGCTCAGGCTAGTCCGTGCTACGTGTTCTGGCGATACTACGATTGGTCTCAGCTGTGAGCTTGGTGACTGGGTGCTTGATATGCCATGGTGAGTTCAAAAGTTTGGCCGTGGGGATACTAGAAACTTAAGTATAGGTCTGCTTCTGATTTAGAAATCACTAAACCAGCCCTTAAGTGTTTTATGGATGCCTTTAATTAAAGCTTTGAGTTTCAGGCGATGTGTATGAGTCGGCGACATTGGCAGGATACCCGAGCAGGCCTTTACGAGAGACAGAATTCCACCAACGTGTAGCAGCGTCGGGCCGAGCCATCAAGTGCGATCTGGAATGGATTCTGGTCCCTATGATGGATGAAAACACTCACAACATGAAGATGGAGAGCTGGCCTATCCTATCTCCTAGTGCCCTTGCTTCCTGGTTTGATAGTCGGGCTACTACATAAATCCTACAAACAGAATTAGGGTTTAGGGTTTAGGGTACAGTAGAAGCCAGAAAGTTGGAACATCATTACCCTCATGCCCTTAAGGTAAAGTATAAGGGATCCTAGCACTAATCCTCTTAAAGCCATGTTCCAACTTTCTGGCTTCTACTGTATAGAAAACTCCCGATGAAACCCCAATCCTCCTTTTGTTTAGTGCCCAGGCTGCAGCTCTCATCAACGAGGGTTGGTTGCAAAGCCTGGCGCCGACTGACCATCTGGAGGATTATTGGGGGAGAATGCTTAAGGACTTTCCTGGTCACCCGTTGGTGAGACAACCTGAAAAATGGCGGTGTTCGATCCCGGTCTGCCTTTGGGGAGACGAAGGCACCATTAAAAAGTCGAGCTGGATGATCTCTTCATGGCTACTTGCTCTGATGATGGTGCTTGATTTGCTGTGATTACCCTAAACCCCTGCTTTAACACAAAATGTTTCCATATTATGAAGTCCAAGGATGCCAGACCTCAGCCCCTGCCGAAACGACTCAAGGGCTTCAAGATGTGCTATGTTTTCAATGCCGGTATCTGCTTATTGGATGGATGGAAAGGTCAATACAACCCTGCAATCCCTGTATGGACGACTGGTGGCTGACTTCAACAAGCTTTCGACCCAGGGGGTTTCCACGAATCATGGGGTTCCTGTGATTGAATAGTAGGATATCGTCAACAGTTGGCTTAGAAATTTTGTCCGAATCACGGTCTACAGTATACTATCCCCTTAGTGTTTTAGGTCTGGCTGTAGGGTTTATGCCATGTTACACCCCTGGCCCAAGGTGTTCTACTTTTATGTGGTTTCCATCAAAGGAGACTTGAAGTACATGAAGCAGGCCTTCAATTTGGTTCGCTCACCCGGCTCGGAGCAGGCGCAACCGCGGCACGAAGACATTGGATGTTGTCGGAGGAACACGTACGGGGGTTTGAGTTAGGGTTGTCACGTATATAGTAAACCGTTTGGGGGTTTATGGTGCCTAGATCAGATTCCTTTGACTTAATGTACGTTATATAACCCTAAATACTTCCAAGTAAGTTATTTTCAAGGTCACTGTTTTGCTGGGTGATAGGTACTCATAATTCATAAGATGTTGTGGTTGCACTTCTATGCATTATAGCTATGGTTCGAGGAAGAATTAAGCTATACGATGTGCTCACGCAGGTGTGCTTCCGTTGCTTAGCATCTATGGGTCGCCATGAGCCTGATCTAGTTTACACTGATGCTGGGCCAGAGGCAATGTGGCGGGCCACCGAATATATTGAAGAACCATGGGAAATACCTCCCGCCTTGTCCGGCTTGGTTGGGTTCAACACCGGAATGCTGGCTCTAGATGTCATGCATTTATGGCATCTCGGCTGCTGCCGAGATTTGGTAGGATCGGCCTTCAAGCTAATGTGCAAGCGTCGTGACGGTCTATACTTTCAATCCTCAAGGCTTTCTGGGCGTCTGGCTGAATTGGTTCGGGAAATCCGAAGTTTTGCTCAAAGGCATGGGAAACAGGTGAATTTCAAGAAGATCACAAAGGAAATGCTGGTGTGGAAAAAGAAGAAATGCCCCGAGCTGCATGCATCAGCAGCGGATGCAGGAATTTGTTTACACTATCTTGCAGAAAGACTGCAACAGCAGCCAATGCCGGCACCGTATGATGGGCTACTTGCTTGTGTCTGGTCGGCCCACAACATGGTGCAGACCCTGATGAGAGCTGACTTCTTCTTGTCAGACGAGGAGTGCGATGCGATTCACACTCTGGGCTCCATGTACCAAAACACGTACTCTCAGTTGGCGGCCATAGCTCATCAGAAACAAGAGAAGCATTTCAAGATACGTCCAAAGTATCACATGGTCACACACCTTTTGGGTGATGTTATGCTTCGTGCTTCGAGGAGAAACCCCTCCGTGGATTCCTGTTGGCTTGATGAAGACTTTGTGAAATATTCTTTACGGGTGTACCGAAAGGTACACAGGAAAACAGCTTCGCTGAATCTTCTCAAGCGCCTGCTCGTGGTCCAGAAGCACCGGTTGGAGTGTCAGCAGGGGCGCTGAAAACAATGTCAGTTTTCTTTAAGTTGCATTCCTCGAAGGCCCTCTATAAAACCCCCAGCCCTCAAGGCCATTTCCTAGATTCTAGCTTGACTTGCAATTCTATCATAAGTCAGTACCCAAATCCGTAATTGTAGTGTTTCGAAATCGATCCTTCTAAAGCCCTTCCAAACCTTGAAACCTCAAAAGCTTGCAAGCCCATACCACCACTTATAATATTTGCCTTATAAACCCCATCCATATACACGTATATATATGACCCACATTGACCCTTTACATTTCTTCCCCAAGCTCATTCACAGCCGCTTAAGATGAGGCTGGCCAGGGTATTCAGGAACTTCAGAATTATCAGGAAGCTTTCTGTGGTTTCAACGGAATCTTCTGAAGAGTGTCGCCTTATAAAGTCTTGGCATTATCGTCTATAGCTTCAGAGGCTAAATATTCGGGTTAAGTTGGGGTTCTGTGCAGTTAACCCTATACCTGGGAAGGCTCGCAACCGAGAACATATCCCTAAACCCTGAGTGCGAAGTGTTTTTTCCGGAAGTCCTTGTATTGCATAGATAGAAAGCCCGATCCCGATTCCAGCGACGGTATCACCATCTTACCAACAATCAAGAAGAACCATACAATTGTGCTTAATGTAGGATCTGTACTATAAACACCGCTTATAAACCCTAATTTAGGTTGCTGTCTAGGGTTTTGTCGGCTCAAAGGCTCAAGCCAATGCTGCATGATGCTTCGTTTCGAAATATAAATCTTGCATGCTTTTCGTTATGTTTGTTGGCTCATTACGATGCTTCATGATGCTTTGTTTTTCTCTGGCTCGAAGGCTCAAACCGATGCTCTATGATGCTAATTTCATTCCGATAAATCATGATGCTGACAAAAACCAAATGGACCTTAAAAATCTCAAATGTGCCTTAAACCTTTGAAGGCTCATTTTTAAGGTCTGTTTGGGAAGGCCCGGGGCGCTTTAAGGGCCAACACGTCGACAAGGTCAATCACTGTACGCGCCATCAAATTGGATGATGCGCGAAGCTCGCATGTAAAAGGCCCTCAGCAGTGGCCAAAGGAAAGCCGGCGCTTTCAGATGAGAAAGAAGGACCTCAAGGGCTTCAAACTGGATAGCATCGAAGAACCCCGGAATGTCCTGTTGAACCGCAACGCGGGCGCCGCCGCGCATTGCAGCATTCAGTTGAAGCAGGGCACCCGGCACCGACGTGCCCGGGATGCCACCGGCGTCCGACGGGGACCTGCACGAACCAATCCAGTCCGCGAGTTGGGCATTCAAAACCCGTGCTCCCGCACATCAGACAGCTTGGGATATCGTTAACGGCCTGAAGCCTCCTTTGAGCTTCTTAAGCATCACCGCACGTGCTTGCGCCGACTGGGCTGGGATGTCGCCACAAGTGATGCACCGATTCCACAGCTGGGAGGTCCACACCCACCAAGGATCAGGCATGAGACATAACAGTCCGGGTTTCCACGCGTCCGGGCCGGCAGCGCGGTGCTTCATGGATTGCATTGAAAGTCGGAGAGCCTCAGGCGTGATGTTAGGCAAAACCTCCAAGCTAGCAGGACGCGGCAGGGGCCGCAAAAGGTCACGCATGGCTTGCACATCGACCGCCTGAAAGGATGCGGGAGAAAGCTTCGCACACAGATCTTTCGCCACAGCTGCAACCGCAACCGCCGGATGTGCGGGGTCGCCAGGACTGGCAACATCCGGAAGCTGACGCTCCCAAGCAAGTTGCTCGTCAGCGCGCCGTTTTACAAAAGACCGGGCGCGAGGCAAGTTAGTGCGCGTCCTGGTGCGCCACAGTTGCTTTTTGGCATCCTCCTCCTGCTGCGTGAAGGTCTCGATGAGCTGTTCGACATGTGGAAGGAGAGATAGCTCATCTCCATCGCGGGCATAAGGCAGGCTTGGCACCTTCAAGCGTGTGGACCGAAGCGAGCGCCTGATTCGCGCCGCCAACAAAGCATCGTTCGTCCGATGAGAGAGAACATGGAGCCTGGCGCGGAGCCGCAGCAAAAGGCGCAGGCTTTCCGACTTCACAGGCTGCTTGCCCGACCGTCCCGCAGCAATGGAGGTGACAGGCTCCCACGAAGACGCACGAGGGACGCACTCTGCAGAGCACGGCTCACACAGCAGGGCCTCGGCAGTGTCCGACAAGAAGCGCCAAGCGCCGTCCAAATCATTACTTTCCAAAGCAAGCGCAAACGGTCCTGCATCGATTTGAGCACATCTGGTCTCCAAGTCAGAAGGCAGGAGATCGTCGCGAGGCTTGCATCTCCTGGGCCCAACCAAGGGGCGAGGGGCAGCAAGGGCATACGAGTAGTGCACACCCAAATGGTCCGACCAATCGCACTGAAAGTGATCCACTGAAACCGCTGGCAGGTCACGGTGATTAACAGCGAAATCGATGCGACGAGAGCGCACCCCCTGGGCATTGACCGGGCCCGTGGCAGGAAGAGGCCGGCCACATGCACACTCATCACCAGCAAGAACGGTGCCTTGAGCAATTAGCGACCCCAAGCGGCCCTGGGAAGCCTCCAGGTTATAGTCGCCAAGAACCACAAACCTATACCCCGAGGTCACCGCACACGCCAAAACGTCATCCACTTGTGGCTCATTGCCAGCCTGACCATAAAAGGCTATCACCAGGATGGTCTCATCAGTGACGCCACGGGAACCCTGGGGAAGCGAAGAGTCATCCTCGGGAAGAGAGCGCATACTAAAGAGCCCCGCCACGTGTCTAGTGGACGCAGGCCCCTTACACAGCTGAACATGTCGAAAAGGAAAGTCACTGACCAAGGCAACGCGACTGCCGAGAGCCTCCTCCGGGGCACTCAAGGCAGCATGCCTGCCGTGCGCCTTCCACTGATTACGATAGCCGACGCCAGCCATGTCCGGCACATTCACCTCGGACAATGCAACGATCTGCGGGGGGCCTTGCCGAAGAAGAGCATCCGGCTGCCCCACCTTGGAAGCGCCGCTCCTATTAACGTTCAAGCACGAAAGCCGGATCACACTGACGACATGGGGGCTCGCAAGGCTTTCTCAGCAGCAACGAAAGCAAGCTCTCGCTGCCGTTTTCGATCACTGTCAGGGGCCTTGTCATGGATCTTTTTAATGGCAGCAAGGGAACGCAGACGGATCCAAGCCCTGGCTTTAGCCGTACGAGAAGGGCACTGACCTTTGACGGTGCGATGCTTGCGAGCCGCAGCAGCCGACTGACACGACGCTTTGCACTTGCGACACAGCCAGCTCGGGGTCATGCGCAAGGGATACTTATCAACCGTGTTGGTGTCCTTCCCAACCTTACGCGGCCAGCTGAAAGCATCAAAGTCCTGGGCCTCAAGCTCACGCACTACCGGGAGAAGCTTGGCTTTGTGGGCATTGCTGCGAGTCACGCTGATCTTAGAGGCCCGTTTGGTGGCTGAAGAGTTACGGCGCGTCTGCTTGGTCCAAACCGCCCAAGAAAGGCGAGGGTGAGCCGCAGTTTTATGGTCTCGACGGAAGCGCCACAAGGAGTCGTTGCCAAACCGAGCGGCATCAGCAACCCTCCTCACCATCAGCAAGGGCTCGGACACACGACGCTTTGCGATCTGAGGCCAACCCATACGCTTCACCCGGGTGCGCAGCCTTGAAGTGCCTCTGAAAAGCCTTGTAGGCCTTGACCGGGTCCGGGCACTTACGACGGAAAGGACAAAGCCTACACTTAGCAACACCGTCAGGGAAAGCGCGGCCGCGGTTTCGACGGGCCATGACAAGGGCAGACTGCGGCAGGGCCCGGTTGGCATGATGCAGACGCTCAGGGTGCGGGGCATCTGCATCATCCCATTCCGGCAGGGCAGGCATGGGAGAATGCACAGAAACTCCTGAAGAGGCGGCTCCAGACCATACCGTGGCAGCATTACCGCGAGTGCGCTTAACACAACTGTGCTCAGACCGAGGGTCAGCCATGTGTTTTTCCCTTTGCGAGCTCAGAAAGGGAAAAACGTGCAGAGTCTGTGAAGCGGCCTTTTTGCTCGAAGTCTTGACGGCAGTCCACACAGTACCCGCCTTCACAGAGGAGGATCGGCTGGCCTTAGACCGGTTGGATCTGGCACTACCAGTCCAAACCGTACCAGAGCACTGGGAAGCATCGTCTCCTCCGGCCCGCAAGTCTACAACAGCACCGCTCGTAACAGAGAAAACCTCCTCAGGATACTCTTTAGAGTCGTTAGCGGGTAAAAGCAGCTCGATATGTCGAGGCGTATACCACAGCACCAGTGTCCTCTTGCGCTGCTGCGCATGAAAAGACATCGCACTGTGAAATTGCATGCCATCACGCGGGATGAGTAGGATGCGTGTGTCAAACAAGCGGCCGAGTGCCTTTATTTCGATGGTAGAGGCATATGCAGACTCAGAAGCGATTAACTTGAGGTATTCCTCAAAGCCCGCCTCCGGTGATTCAGCTTTTTCACGCAATTTTTGTAACTCCGGCCCATGGCCGTCCCACTCACCTATATACTGCGAAGCGTGTTTTCGTAAATGCTCGACGCAGCGCGCCCTCAGGTCTCTGTGGGAACGCTCGGTCTTCTTAGGGCCCTAAAGCCAGTTGAGACCACGCGCAATCGCATGAAAGAGACATGCTCCGTCTTTCGGAGTCTCAATGAGGTCGCACCCCGATGGGATTTGACGATGCGAAGCAGCAACATGCTTGGCAGGGGACACCTCCTTACCTTCAGCATCGAGTTCAGCGGGAACCTGAAGTCGAACGGGCTGGGGCTCCAGCGCAGGCTTCTCCTTGGCAAGGCAGGGAGTCGGCGCACAGCGCAAAGGTCGCTGCTTAGCTTGCTTAGGCTTGTAAGGTGCAACCGTAGCCCACAGCGTGATTTCATTGTCCTTTCCCGGCTCGCTCTCGACGATGGCGCTCAAAGGAACCAAGTCAAGATCGCCTTGCTTGAGCGTGGCTCTGAAGCGATACAAGTACTCAGCGCCCGTGCGCTTGTGCTGAATCAAAGCCACATCCTTGAAGGATTGGTCCAACACCTGCAGAACTTCCTTCTGCCCCCAGCTGGCCGGCACATGAGGGAAATTCCAAACACGCGGAACGGCCTGCGAAGGATCCCGAGGCGATCTGGCACCGATGCGTCCGCCCTGGGTGGCCAGACCGTAAGGAGCACTCATGCGGAGTCCGCGTTCGAGATACGCAATCGGAGCTTCGCCCTTTGTAGCGGCAAGCCACTGCACAGAAGAGACAAGCTTGCCGCGCGGCACGTCAACAAAAACTCCATCCCGGCCACTGACAGCAACCAGGGAAGACAGCTCAGTTTCCATGAGACGAGCAATGCCAAAGAGTTGCCGGCCTTGCTTCCCAGCCTGCTGCTCCTCAACCCAGCCCCACGAGTCACTCAGGGTGATTTGGTGAGAGATGGCCCAAGAAGAAGCAGCACGACTCGGGTTTGCCTTCCAATGCTTGAATTTATCAGGCATCATGTAAAGCTCAGTTACCTTAAAGTAGACAACCGAGGTGGTCGCAGGGACAACTTTAATGGCCTTGGCCTTGTGCCCCGCAAAGCAAGGGACACCACCGTCAGCAGGGTCGGACTTACAGTGTGTGATCGAGGCCCGTCGAAAGCGCAGGAAAGATCCCACACTTCCCGGGACCTTGGGGGCCATCCTTGTCCAAGGTCACAAGTGTGATCCTGTGAGATTTGCTGGTTCCTGCTAGCATGGTCTTAATTCTCGACAGCGCTGAGGGCTCGACAAGAATGACAGCTTCCAGAGCAGAACCCGGTTTAAGGTCACCCAATGCTTTGGCAACGGCGTCCTGGGACATAAGCTGCGCGCTCCAATCCTGCGATCGGAGCTGGAATGGGCCCTGCGGGGCAGCACGCTGAACCTTGGTCCAGCCCTCAGCATCACGAGGAAGCTGGTCTCCCTGGCCCTGCGAGGCACCAGCATGCGGAACCTGACGCTGACAAAAGAAGACTGCAGCGTGCCCGGCACCGACATGACCACACGCACCACAAGCCGCAGGCCTATCCGGATGGGAGTCCGCACAAGTTGGTACAGCAGCTCTGCTCGGCGGGGCCATGCAAGTGCACACGGGTACCCAGGGACGGGAGGGGACCTAAACCGAAAGGGGGAAGGGAAACCCTGCTGTAGGCATCCACCACTACACTCGGCATAGTCCTTGTCCGGCACGACGAAGCCACGGTCACCTCGAAGCACAGGTTCCTGCAAGTCAAGGCCATGGCGACAGCGCGGCAAGGAGGGAGGACAGGGGGGGCTCCGAGGAGCCAGGTTTACCTCTAGCTAGCACCGACGGTCCAGCTTCCGACTCAATCTTTGCCCTCTCGCGGGTCTTGATAGTGCTGAGCTCCCACAGTACACTAAGAACACGGCCACACAGGCTCTTCGTCCTACAGACAGGCTCGCACTCACCATCACAAGAAGCGCTAGTTAGGCCTCTAAGGCTCTTTGCCCTTCGCGGGTCTTTTTCGTTTCTTGATTAACACAATCAGAGTACTCAGGAATTGCAGTCGACGGTCCGCGCGGCCCAGCACCAGAGTCCAGGTCACACGCAGGTTGACATGCTTGCAGTTGCGGCGCATAGTAAAGAAACTCCTCTGAAAGAGTAGCCTCGAACATGCACAGCTGAGACATAGGCGGTTCTGGTTCAGCTAGGACATCCTCTCGACAATCACTCATCGAGAGCTGCACCTGAGAATCATCCTCGGCAGATGCAAGACCAATCCCCGACTGCCAAGGATCTGCCACGGCAGCAGAGTTGCTGCCCCCACTGGTACCATCTGAGCTGGCCCCCACTGAAGCCCCTGACCACAAGCCAAAGGCCCCAACTGCACTCCACACTATAGTTCTCGGCACACCGCGCTGAGCCAAGAAATCAAAATCCTTCTGGAACAGCTGAAGCTGAAAATCACGTGCTCGAACAATGAAAGCGCTCAGCAATTGCAGTCGCTGAGCCACTCACGGTTGTGCATCTCGGACATTGCCAGATGCTTTGCCCCAGCTGCCGAAGCAGCTCTTCTCTTCCCCATTCATTTCTTTCCCCAGCAAAGAAATGTCATCACTCAAAGCACAATTCATGAGCTTCCAAGAACCCCTTAAGTACAGGTAAAACCCACAGCCGAGGCCGCCCGAAGAAGGAGCCATGGCCCGAAGGCACTTGCGGGAAGTGTTGGCCCTGCACCTGGGTAGTACAGGTTTCCAGCTCAAGACACGAGGAGTCCCTTCCCGCTTGAGCCCAAAACTCCAGAACCGTATATTGCAAAAAGGTCTCAAAGCAATCTTATCCGGGATCCATATAAAAATGCCCGAGAATATAAAAAGTATTGGAGCCGACTATAAAATTCGCTCCCGAATATACTTATGCTAACGCAGACGTGGCACTGTTTTGTTCCGAGCACTCGAAGGGGCTGCTCGAAAAGGTTTCGTGCACCAAGCGTGCTGGTGCACAAACATGAGTGGTGGAGCATCCACTATCGAAGCTTGCGGTACAGAGATTCCACTTTGTGTTATGCACCCGATTGCCCCCTTAACAAGTGCTGCCACGGAATGTTCCTCGGGAACAACTCTGCACACGCAAGACCCAAAGCCTCTGCCACGGCATCACCTTTGCCTCTTGAGGGCCCGTCGGCGATGTTCGCCTTTGACGGTACTCTTGCATACCACGTGTAAGATACCATATTGTCTTCAAGGCGGCACAGCTCGCGCAACATGCGATCCATGATACTCGACTTGCTCACGCCCTTGACAAGGGCCAAGCGAGCAGGCTCGTTGTCTATCCAATAGACTACTCGCCTGCCCTCCAAACGCTCCTTGCAAACAAGCTTTATGCAGTAGACGGCAAACAACTCGACTTGGCAAATCAAGTGTTCGCTAGCCTCGTGCCG